CTCCATAAATTAAAATGTACCACTTGAATATTTGGTGATTGAATAAATAGTTATTTCAGATATAACTTGTAACAAAAATAACCATTTTAACTTAATGCAGATAAGTTTAAACGTTGCTCCTTATTTCAATTGTTTTTCAATATTATGCAGAAAATATACCTAACGAATACCTTGCAAAGTCTAACTGTCTGTGAGCTTCCTTCATAATCGGCTCAGCCGTTTTGAAGATGCCAGACAAACAGACGGACACTCAAATTCGATTTAGGTATTTGTCTAGATCTAGAAGATAAAATCATATATAGAGTGATTCAATTTTTTTTGTATTAATTAAGGTCTTGTGATGATATAAACTTAGGTTTGTTCAAATGAGACCCCCTTTTTCACTGTAAATTATTTATTGGATAATTTGGTTGAGTATTGATATGTATCAAATTCAAAATTCGAATGAGTAGTTTCTTAGTTATAAAAATATTTGTACTAAGGATAATAGTCCTTAAAAATGGTTTCACTAAAATATAAAATGGACGTAATATTGGAACTAGTATACATTGGACTTATGCCATTTTTACAAAAAATTTGATAAAACTAAAATTACTTAATTACTAAAATATTCGAATCACTATTGTTTCCATAACTTATAAAATTATAAACCTACTACAATGAACCTTTTATCCAAAAAACAAAAAGTTAAGTAACTCAAAAACTACTCGTACAAATTTTGATTCAGATACTTACGTCAAATTTTACAAAAAAATTATCCACTAAATAGTTTGATGTTGAAAAGGAGAGTTTGAATTTGAAAAACAGAAATTTTTATCTTCAAATGACACTCCTTAAGTAGAACACAAAATCTCAAGAATTCAAAAATATGGTCTTTAAGTATATTTAAATATTCCAAAAATCAGATTTTGAATAACTACATTATTGAAGATAAAAAGGGGTGAGCATACTCGGTAAATGACGGTGTATATAATCATTAACATCTTCAATATAAAATCAAACTTCCTATTTTTATACTTGACTTATTAATTACTTCATCTAATTCTGATATTCTTGTGACAATAACGTCAACCTTCTCAAGAACCATTACCCATCCTCGTAAATATGCCAGTTGCCTTTGAAGTATCGTATCAGATAATTATATAAAACCAAACTAGCATGTCTACAAACGTGTTTCACATTATAAGAAAACAGTTAATGATATATTATGTTGCCAGTAAATGCAGAATAATGTTATGAGCTGACAAAGGCTAAAATAAGTGAGTTTCTTGCATAAATGTAATTTTTTCTCCTACAAAATATTCTATTACCGTAATTATGAATATAATATATGACAATATTATGTGAGTAAACAGGGTCAAAAAATTAAAATAATTGATACCTCGGGTCTCATGTTCATTTATTAAATTTCAAATTTGAATACCAAAATTAATGAATAAATTAAATAGATGTACTTATTTAAGTGTTGGATATCGCAATCTAATTATCCTATTGTATTATAAGAATCTATTATTGTGAATTAGATAATTTATTATTGTAATTTAATTTGTACCAACAAAAATATCTTTTGTTTCGGGAAAATGTATAAAAGATCTAACATTCTGTGTTTGGTTTTCTGTAGTGATCAAACATACTGACCGTTAAAAGTGTGTATTCAAATATCTAATTTTTGGAGGGGTTTAAAAATATATAAAAGATTTAAAACTTCTATAATGTATTTAACTGTAAATAAATAATGATAATATATTGAAAAATGTTTTAAAAATATTTTGGGTCGAGTACTTCTTTTGAACATCCCATCAATGGGTCACAAAAAACTTTAAGAATGAACAGAATTTTTTTTCGGAACTTGATCTGATTAATTTCATAAGATATTATAATATATATATATTTGTGTATGTGTAGTATATTTTATTATGTACACAGCACAAATAAATATTTGAACTTGAATAAATTATTCTAACCGTGGTCAGAGGGTTCCGTTTGAGCCCGTGTAACAAGGCGTTCCGCTTGCTCACCGATCCATTAATCTATTACTTCGAGTCTTTGAGCAGTTATCATACTCGGAAATGATATTCATTATAATTGTGTAGGAGTGCACTTTGTTTTGAATAAATTTACTGCTTTAATTCTAAATTTGTAATTGAAAAATAAACGATGTGAATGCCTATTTGTATATTATTTTAAATAATCGAAGTGTGGATCAAAGGACACTATAAACTTTGTAGATGTATTCGCTCTACCGAAATATAATAATAATATTAAAGCACTGTTATGGTTTTAATTTGTACAAATAAGTACGTTTACGATTTATGTTTTCCACGTTGAAGTGTCGTTTTTTGTTCAACACATTAAAGTATGAGTGGAACGGCGAGAAATTATAATATTGAGTGTAGCTGTACAATAAGGTTACTTTTTTTATTATATAATCAGAAAGAACCAATTTTGAACATTCTGATAATTTCTTGAGTTACTCAAGTCGACCCACTGCTATGTACGTAGTTATTATTTTACCTTGTTAAAGTTTTCATTATTTTACAATAAAATACCACTGGGTAGAATATAGAAACAAAAGAAAACTGTTTTTTGTAATGTTTATAAAAATATTGAACTTTTTATTTTCTGGTCGGAAAATCATAAAGTTGTTAAACGGTAAAATATTCGTATGCTTTATTCATATTCACTTATTGAAATTAATTGATATAATATTCCAACTAATTAATATAAATTGTATCCATCACTCATACCGTTATTGTTATAGGTAGGTACAATTACATTTTAAAAAACTCAATTTATTTTCAAAACTGTTTCTGATTATTTTTTTCCAAGTACGTAAAAAATCAGAGTGGTTACTCACAGAAAATTTTGACTACTAAACGAAACGTACGGTTGAAATATTTGAAACGACAACTACCTATAGATTATGTTTGCATATTATATAGCACACAAAGTATTCAGTATACCAGACTGAGAGGAGTGCAACAATCGAAATAGCGACTTACTACACAGACACACACACCCACGTCTTATTCGTGTCGACGAACCATGTCCGGCATTTTCTTTATACAGCTGTGATCGAGTGACATTTATTGAACTCAGCGTGTGGGACCAACTTTTATTTCGGCACTATAATATAATATTTTATATTATTATCATGCATGTAATCCTCGGAAGAAAATCACATCACATTAATGTTTCAATTCACGAACTAAAAATAAATTTAAGTTTTTGCTGAATTTTGTATCCAACATAAAGAAAACAAAAACAGTAGGTATTATTAAAACAATACATAATCATACCATTATTATTATGATGATGTAGATATATAATATGATGGAAGGTTTTTTTAAAATAATATAGCTATAGGATAAGTAAACAGATAAGTGCAGACACATGGCAAACCTTGGCATACACTCAGTGCTCACTCTACTACTACGGGTAAAAAATAAAAAAATAAAACAATTATCTGTTTATGAAATATGTAAAACATTTTAGAATACCTACTAAAGAAAATATTGCATTAAGTCATGTTAAATTGATTGTTGTGTTTTTTTTTTCTTTATTAAAACCGAATAAACAAAATTAACTCTGTTTATTTGCCCTACATTTTCCCCGGTATTGTTGTAAGCTTGTCGAAACACGACAGAATGTCGTTTATTTAGTATCGAAGCTATAAATATTATATTATATTATTTCATTAGAATTTGAAGTATTGTTGTTTGTAGTTATTTTTTTTGCATCCACCGTATATTTTTCAATTTTAATACATTACACAAAAAAAATAATCAATAATAAATTCACTCTTGAATGGTTCAACAAACGTTATTAAATTACCTTCTTGTGTTGTATTATTATATACCAAACCTACCATCACTATGAAATATTATAAAGAATCAGTTTTAACATTTGTATTTATTTATGTCACAAGGAACTTAATCGGGTACTATTAAATCCTTAGAAAAAAAAAAAGATTTTGTTTACGCCTTTATAGTTTATTGCTATTAACCACGTTTATCATTTACATCATACATAAAATAGGTAGATATTGACTTAGGTACCTATAATAATATATGAGTATAGTGAAGAGAACATAAAAACATAAAGATTTAAAAATGATACACGTATTAGACATGTGTCAAAATCCAATGAAGTAAAACTCAAAATACTCAGAATATATATTTTAAACTAAACGAATTGAATTTTCTCCGTACAAATCCAATCCCACGAGTATAGTTTATTTGGCTCACAGTGGCTATAGGCTGTGGTTGCCAAAACAGCCACCGGCTAGGGGTTAATATTTTAGCCAATAAAAACATAAAATAGGCAATAGCTTATGAATAATAAAAGCGAAGAATTTTGAAAATATTCATATCTAGTAAAATCTATATACAGGGTGAACCATTTAACACAAGGCACACTTTATTTCAGAATACACTAACGTTTTTTAAAATATTTCTTTTGCATAATTTTAAGTCGTTACAAAACAACAATTTTAGGAAAAAAATTGTTTATACTATTTTGATCAAATTTTTTTTTTCATATTCCTATGCAGAATATTATTCAGGGTATTTTTATTTATAAAAATCAAATGTTTTAGGACAAGTTGCTTATTAGTTTTAAATATAATTTAAAGTCTTGTAGAGTGGAGTTCAGGGTGTTTCTATACCACTTTATACCGTTAATATAAACTGAAAATACCAAGGTACTTATAAGTTATAACGTATAACTCCTAAACTACTCGTCCAAAATGTTATTTTTATACATAAAAATACTAAGCAAGTGGGTAAGGAGATGTCGCTCTGCTGTACAGTAGGTTACAAGTGGGTCAATGCATAATGCAGTGTATTAACTTGATTTAAATGATGTAATACCCATAGGCGTAGGGTGGTTAAATTTTTTGGGGGGCTTTAGCCCTACCTGGGGCAACCTGCAGTGTACATCTGCAGATATACATAATAAAATACAAATAATGTGTGACAATCTAAGGTTTTATTAAAATATTAAATTTTTTTTTTACTTGCTGTGCCCGAGTCAATATCACCTAAATCTAAAATTACATTAATACCACACTGTACATCTTGTGTGGGTTCATGTATAGACTTCACAGGTTCATTATTTTCATGTACAGCATTCACAACTATAGGTTTAGGATCATCTACAGATTCATCATGTTCAACATCAACAATTATGTTTGTAGTATTTATTGATGTCAAAGAAATCTTGACAGACTTTTTAGGCTGCAAGTAGCAATTTGACGGTACCCAAACGAATGCACAAAGAAAACGGGGTTGACGGTGCCCCATTTTTTCCGTGGTTTTGAGGATCAGAAGAAGAACTTTTTATTTTTTTTTTAATATTGTAATTATTTATTCGTTGCTAAGGTGATTGGTGATAAACAAAGCGTTAGAAATTAAAATCCCATTTTTAGTGCTTTTTCGTAATTTGTTGGTACTTTTTCCCGTAGCATTAAATAGCTATAGAGAAAATTGAAAAATTACCTCTTTAAATTACCATATTTATCCAATTTTCTAAAAGAGAAGGTCTATATCTTGAAATCGAAACACCTTTTTTGGTAGAAATTGTTTATACACTATAAAAAAAAAAATTAAAAAAATTAAAAATAAACCCCATTGTAAAACCACTAGCTTCTTCTCTCCACTCAGAATCTAAAAAATATTCTGCTTTGTAATAATGATTTAAAATTAAATTTTAACTTTATTTTAACTATGTTGCAAAAATTTTGTTTTTAACTCCTTAAAATTATGTAAAATAAATATTTTCAAAATCATTAATAGGTTTTGAAATAATAAATATTACCTTTATAGGTAAGTACTTAATAATATTCTCGTACATAATTGAATATTAATTTGTTTTGGAAATTTAATGTAAAAACTATGCTAGTATTTACTACCTATAGAATAATAAATTATATTAATTGAATGTTGTCATTTGATGACAACATAGGTATTTTAATAGGATATATAATTACATAATAATATAATAATTGATATAAGTAATATTTTTAACTACGAACTTATATTCATATCTTGCATTATAAATCCGAAGGTAAAAAAACAAGTCGATTAATAATATAAGTGTTTTCTTATTCGATTTCAGCAGTTGTCCTTACTTCAATGTATTCATATCATTCATATTATAACTTTTATCCACTTTGAGTTGGAAGATACCTACATTATAGGTGTGTCGATGAAAATGTTTGTTAAGCGAATTACGTTACAGTACAATATTATTGTACAAGACAACAGCCTGTCCAAACTCTGTGAAGATATATTATTAGTATATTTTTTTTATTTTTTTTTTTCTAATAATTACGTTTCGAGCATTAAGTTAGAGCAGAGTAATTCATGAAAGCGTTTAGTGAACTGCACATAGAAAAATAAAAAAGTCAGTCATTATTGTTAAATGATAGTTACTGCACGACAGAGAAACTGCAATATAGCGTTCCACGTCTTCTATCCATCGTTGTGACTAGATTTACTTTTAAAAATTGTATAATTATATAAGTTTATTTTCATGCTCTATTCAGAATAATATTTCAAACGTACCTACCTATTATAATTATTATTGTCCCACTTGCCGTGCTGCTGCTTCGGGACCTGAATATATAGTAAATGCAGAGATTGTAAACGGTTGAACTGTGCGACAATTACAACTTCCGTTCTTTGAAAACAAATTCAATTATTCGGTTCTGCTCTTGGAAACTGTAAGGTCATATTTCACAACAAAAAAATTATAAATTCTAAAGTATTATGTGCAATTACAAAAACGGTGACTTTTCAGTGAATCTGAATCAAATTCTATTGGTTTATTCTTAGAAAGTTATTTGGAATGGAAACTTTTTTTAATGAATTAGCGAGTTTCCAAAACGATGAGCACTCGTATAGTTTTTAATCTAATTGAATCTCGAGGGAATATTAAAACCACTAAAATCGTGTCGGAGAATTGTGCCTCGTTGTAATGTTTTTTGAATCGGAAAATGACTTTTGGTTTTTAATATTATGCTACCACAAGAATTTAAATCTTTATACACGTCATATCGTTCAACTATTTCAGACATTTAACACAATTAATCTTCTAGGCATTAGAACTATTTGACTTTTGTGTTTAAATTATAATAATCAACGATATTGATTGGGGGAATGATTTGAAAAACAATATAATTAAGACAACAACGTAAACAAATCGCATGACATTTTTATTTATTTATTAATATTAAGAAATCATAAGCTTAAACATTTTTTTTTTTTTGATATACCTCCGATACAATTTGTTTGTGAGTAAATAACATTTATAATTAAAAATACTCAGTTAAAAATACAGTTAAAAATATCTAAAATACATATTATGCTCACGTTTGTATAGAAACGATTGAAGTTCAAATGTTAGTAAGATTTTATGTTTTAACTTTTAATAGCTAATGCTTGAGTGTAAAATTTATATTATTGAGTATCTACTAGAGCTACTAAGCCATTAGTACTATTATTTTTTTTACTAAAGCTTTTTCTTCTAAGTTCAGTGCCTAATTAATATTATATTATAGGCAGCACTAACTCTCACTCAAATTGGCACCACTTGTCTAATAACAAGCTGATGTGATGACAATTTTTAAAGTATAGCTGGTAGGTATATAATGCATGTTACGACATTTGTAATGTGATTATCCATTTATAATAAACATGAAATAATTAATAGTACATAATATACGTAATATATAATACATTAATATTAACTTTTGGTTTTAACGGTTAAAAAAAAAAAAAACAATGATAATGATTACAATTGATTCAAACATTGTTCTAAAAAATAAAGAAATAATCTTTTTAAAAGAACGTAATTATATTAATACCATTGGAAATAACAGCACATTGTTAGGAGATATGTTATAACTTTATTATTACAAATTAATTTTACCTTGACATTTTTTCGGTTGTCATTGTAATTTTTACATTTATTAGTTTATTACCTCATACAATTTTTTTAACATCGTATTAAATATACATTAGTTTTAAATTTTAATATGTTTTAAGTATATGCATATTTTATGCAATAACACATAAAGTAAAATGGACATCAATTATGAATATTGAAAAATTATATATTATTTATGTACAACTGTGTTCTTAGTTCTATAAAGTTCTATGCACTATCATATAAGACTTTGCAATATTGTTGTGAAATAAAAAAAAAATTCAAAAACAGAAAGTAAGTCGTGTTACTAAAAACAATTGTTTAAGTATAATAGTAGGTATACCTAGTGAAACCTACATGTTTCTAAGTTATGGATGTATGTGAACTTAATTGATATTGCTGTCTCTGAAAATATATTTCAGAAATATTACCAATAAGGTATGAAAAAATCTGGTCATCTCCACCTCTTTGGACTAAGAAATGTAAAAAAAAACCTCTCTTTAGCCTTTGTTATTGTGATATTTGTGCAGCACCAATGCAACATATTATACCTGATATAGATACCCATACCTAGGTACCATTTAAAGGTTATTTTTGTATAGTGATTGAATATTGTATTCACCGACAACTGTGCCTTGCCCGGTAACCATAACGTGTCTTGATAAAATAATAAAATAGTGACATTAGATGCAATTTATTTTGACTTTCACGAAACCGATTGTTGGTATTGCCACGCTTTGGGTGCTGGTAATAATTAAAAAATCTATGTCGTAGCCTCGTGAATAGACTTCATAGTCTTAGCTTTTTATAATAGTAACACACAACGCTGTCCAGTTTTTGTCTAGTGCATCAGTGTACGCGAGATAATCTCCTTCGATATGGAATAAGACATACTCATATAATAATAGCGAAAAAATAAATAAATCGAAACAAATATTGAAAATGAAAAAAATTGAAATAAGAATCAAGTCGTCCGCTGACGCCGCTTCCTCGTAATGTATTGTATGTGACCGGCATATCGTCGGATATCCCTTGAAAGAAGGCCGCCGATCAGAGAGGATTCCGATCACGATCGTATAGTGACGTCGCCATGGCTAAGACTCGTTCGTGTGCACATAAGTGTATGTATGGGTTGTGTGGGTGTGTGGGTTGTGTGCTGGTGTGTGATTGTGCCCTCGCGAGTTCTTTGGCGAAGAAGACTTCAGCTTCTGCTGCAGTTGCTACGATTATATGTATATTAGACGATATAAAATATATGCCTTATATGTTAAGCCGGCACTTATATAGTTGTATAATAAAATACCGTTATATATATACATAGTGTGATGGCATAAAAACAGGGTACACTGTGTATAATTGAATTACCCATATTACTCTGTATATTTTTGAATTCCGTTTGCGGGACATGAAACTAGTCTATTGGATCATCAATCTCCCGCAGACAGAATTCTTAAATAATATGCATAGGGTACTGCTGAGTAGTGTAGGTAAGTGAGTTATAGAGTGTACCCAGTTTTCGCGGACACACGATATATGTGTGTACCTACATAGAAGTGCCGTATAATATAATGACGTATACAGTTACGGTACACACGTTTCACTGCAACTTATTATCACGTCTTTCTGCGACGCACACACACACGCCGTTCTTGTTGTTGTATACAATATATAATAATAATAATACATAGGTAGGTACTGTTTCCGGATTATTACTACGACCGTCGTATATAAAATATAACACAACGACGCGTTCTAGAAGATTCTACAGAGCAGAGGTACAAAACGAATATATCTATCTGCAGTGCGACGACGGCGATGTGAGCCAGTGCGGTGGAGGCGGCGAGGCGGCGGCGGCGGTAATGATGATGGTTCGTCGCATCGATATAAAAATATAAGACTGACGACAACGGTACATTATTTTAATATTGTGCATTACATTTTCCTAAAAATAAAATATAATATGGAACGTATTATAGACGTGTATATTACCAGGACGCGCCATACTATGCACTGTTATTATAATACTATTATGATATATTTCGCGTGGCTCGATGGCGAGATTATTCTTTATTCAAGCCATAATGTAATATTATATATAATATACGAATAGGTGATATAGCGTGATTATTGACGGTTATTGTTGTTTTTATTATACATGGATATTATACTCGTTTTCTTCAATCCTAACAGAGTATTGTACATTTTTAACGACTCGAAAACTTCATTCACCGTCAAAATATAGTAAGCAAATATTTACATGATGCATTTTTATGTGTGAATAGCGTTTTATTTTGTATTATTTATTGCTCTATAATATTATATCTTCATTGACTATATCATATTATTCCCTATTTTTTTTTTAAATTTTTTTTTT